AATTTAGAAACTCTCACCAGCTTATACAGTAGTATGAGTAGATTCTGGCGTCTCACTTCCATATTACCCACTATGCCCTCTCTATAGGACCTACTAGGGACCCTTACAATTTTTTGTAGACTAAATTGATAAAAGAATATAGTCTGTTACCCTAGAAATATCAATTCTACGTCCATCAAAACTTATCTCCATATATATTTGCACTCCCCTCAGGTGATCGCAACAACTCTGCCCACGATGAAATGTGACACTCACTAGTTAGGTGAAATAATAGCCCTCCCGGGTCATTATGCTTCGCAACGGATTTTAACCTCACAAGTGATTAATTTGTAAACTCAATTAAGAGCCGACCCTCCCGGGTCATTATATTTCACAACGGATTTTAAGCTCACAAGTGATTAATTTGTAAAGTCAATTAAGAGCCCGTGAAAATACCATTACATTAATAAAATAAGAGAACATCTAAGCAAATCTAAATTTCTGAAAATACGTATATTTCATTACAAAAGAAAAGTAAAATAAAAATAATGAAATAAACAGTAAAATGATTGATAAAATTAAGTAAAAAATTACGTGCCAACAAGGAACACATGTCTACTTACCTTCGTTCAAATGTATATGTAAGCTTAGTATTTTTTTAGTTTTATACAACTATCTATCACCTAGAAACATCTAATAGAAACCAGTCATTAAATTATACTTCTTTAAGAGTTGCATTACCGCCTAAACTATTTTACTAGCCAACCGGTCAATTTGAGTGCACTCAAGTTGCAAGATTACTGTTTTCCCGAGTTTTAGTTTCATTTACAAAAGATTTTAAGATAACTTATTGCGACATAAATTCTGTCAAAGAGCAAAGGAGTTATTACTCATCATATGAAAATAAAAATAATTCTATCATGATACAAATTTTCTTACACATGCCACTACTTCATATTAAAAGAAAAGAGTAAGGAAAACTACTTAGGAAGCATGGATAAAACACCGTAGAAAACTTCATTTAAATCAAATAAAATCCACTAAAAAGTGTTTACAATATTTACAAGATAATGAATAATACAATACTTAGCTTTTTCCCTCTGAAAGAAAGAAGAATAATCTCTCCAACAAAGTCTCTTACCGATTCATGCACCACTCATACTTCCTTGCTCATATCTCTTAAAATCCCTCACAAATCTCTCCATAAATTATGAAAATCTACATCTCCATAATCACACCAAAATCCTCCTAAGACATTTCTTAGTTACTTCTCTTAAAACTTCTCTAATCTCCCCGCATGAGAGCTTCAAGCCCCTCTATTTAAAGAGAAGCCAAACACTTCTTTTTTCTAAAAGACACACCCCTTCACTCCAAGAGACACATCTTTTCATCAAAAAGATTTTCAAAGTATCTAGATTCATTGAATCACTCCATGGGGCATGCAAGTTGCCTAGAAGCTTCCAGAAAATCTCAGAATGACCCGAAATCATCAAAAATCATCTCGGGTGCGATAGCGCTAGAATCAGTGTTATAGCTTCTATTTCTAGCCGAGACTAGTGCTATGGTGCAAGTTTGGGTGTTATAGTTCCACCCTATGCATAGCTACACCATTTCACCCTGTTTCACTCCATTTTAACTCCATTTCGCCCCGTTTTTTGGCTTCGTTGCCTCCAGATTGGTATACCTACAAGATTGACATGAAAACAACATTTCCTTAAAGAGTATTTTTTTTTCAAAAATATATGATAAATATGAAGAAGGTTAAGGATAGAAAAAGACTTCAAAATGTGTCACGTCAGAATTTTCTTCCCTGTTCGATTTTGCTCCAAATTGCATTGTTTTTGCTCCATTTTCTTCAAAAATCCATTCCTTGTACTTAAAAACAAAAACATGCAAAATACCTTCCTTTAAAGTGTAATATCATAAAAAAATATGCATGAAATAATCATGAAATGTAAATTAAAAATAGGTAATTTTAAGGTGAATCACCTTCGACTGGGAGAATTTCGTCCGTGGTTTTCTCCTGACGGCAATTACCTCAACTACCTTCTCCTTTTCAACTTCTTTGATGCCCAATGCCTCTTAGAGTTTCTTGATCATAGGATCAAAATTTTTTGGAACTAAAAATTGTCAGCCTTTGATACTAGTACCGTCAATAGATGGATTCCTCAATAAGCTCTTTCGCTTTAATCTCCATCGCATCTAACAAAATGATTATGATCCCCATTTGCCCAAGCAGGATCCGACCAAAAAAACATCTTCTATTCCTTAATTTTATTTTTTAGGCCCAACAATTGGAACTTATAACTGGTCGAGACTTGAACAATACCATCTCAGCTAACCCTGAAAGCAAACATGTAGATGAAGAGGTTCGTTGACCAAGGGATCTCCAACTAATGGCAAAAGACCACATAGGTCATTATCACTACTATAGATTTAGGAAGAATCTAAGGAGGGTTAATTCTAAAATAATTGAACATAGCCCACAACTCCGTGCATAGTGGTAACCAAGTACACAAAAAAGTTAATCACAGTAGAACACAGGATTATTCTCAAAGCAATCAATTGTTTGATCCTGATTCCTCACTAACTAAAGTTTCACCATTGAGTCAAACACTAAATCAACCTTTAGGTTGGCCACATCTTCTACGATCAATGTGGTCACCTCACTTACAGAAATCATGTCGAAAAGCTTAGGGGAGAATCTAGAAGCCATCACAAGGGAGAGAAGAGATGGAAGGAATGAAAGAAGAAAGAGCTTGGAGGGAGAAGAGTTTAGTGTAGCAAAAATTTCTACACTCAGACCCATTTATAGGGATTGAGAGCAAAATTTAAAGAGACATTACACTTTGATATGTTGAGAAGCACATTGATAGAATTCACACCATACATTAGACATGGTTTGAGGAAACATTTAAATTTTATTTAAAAAAATATAAATATTTACAAAGGTCAGTCTAAATAAAATATTTTATAAAGGAGTCTTCTACCGCTTCAGCGGAGACAAAGCCTCGTTGAAGCAAGCTCCTGAATACAACTTCTCCCTCTAGCCTAAATTGGTCCACCAATTTAATCTCATTATGGATTTGATTCATGGAAAGTGGCCAACAACTTTGTTCAAATAGATAACGTCTCACCACTAAATTGAGCAATCTCCCCTTCCATCCTCTTAACACAAGTTTGCAACTCTCGCATAGATTCATTGACAGCATCTGTGTGAAGTAATTAGCCACATCATCAATCTGAAGCCCAAGGGATCTCAAGGATAATGCCAAGCAACCACCACTTACCTCTTGAAAAATCCCTAAAGGATTGGTCACGTGTCTCTCACAATCTCCAATCGGTTGTCGATCACCCCTAATCTACCCTTGGATTTCCGCCACAAGGTCAACAACCGGAGCAACATCAACACCTAACAAAGGCAAGCCTCCCTTGAAATCCATCAAAGTTTGGAGACATGCACCAAAAGGATAGTATGAAAGAGATTTAAAGAACAAAAAATTAGTCACAACACTTCATAACAAGTGTTTGGCCCCAAAGGATAGAGGTTGTTCATATATACTCCTCACCAATTAATGATGGGGTGCTAATTATTTCCCATGCCACTGGCTACAACTCAACCTCCACTTCTATTGGTGCCCCAGATTGTTCCAAAGCACCAGGAGCACCAGGAGCTCCAGGGCCAGCAACACTAGCCAGTAGAGCTAGTTTTGCAGTGGTCTGTACATTGTGTCTACCCTCATTATCCTTCAAGGTTTTCTCTTGTTGATGATCACCAGGGTCTCCCAAAAACTCCACCTGATCGTGCATATTAAGTTCAGGTTATTTCCTCTTCTTCAATCTTCCACTCATAAGAAGAGGCGAAGCACTCAAAAGTGAAATGCATCTAGCTATGCATGAGCTAAAAAAAAAATGTTAGAAATATAAATAATAGGTTTGTGATGTTTGGCATGTAAATAGTGAAAATAAACTTAAGAAAAAAACGGGGTTCCGCCTCATCGACAAATTCGGCACTCTTAGGGTTTCTGAGATCCGACCCCTATCTTATACTCCTTCATGGCGGAGGTAATGGATGCGCCGGCGGATGCTCTAGATCGCCCGGAGAGGCAGCCTTCTCCAGCAGACGGCTCTCCACTTCCTCCACCACCTCCTCCTCCGCGACGCAGGGAAAGGGATTAGGGGAGGGACGACTATTACGACTAGGAGACCCTCTCTCCACCGCCGCCGCTTGTATCGAGGGATAGAGAATACCGCCGGAGGAGTAGTTTAAGCCCGCCGCCTTACCGCGACCGCCGTCACTCTCCGCCAAGGCGCTCCCCACCGCCTGGCGGATTCAAGCGCTCTCGTAGGGACGATGGCGGTTACGAGCGGCGGAGGGGGAGTCCTAGGTAGACTTCGGGTTGCAGTTTTGTTTGAACTGGTTCATGAAGGGGTTCTTTGATCTGACTGTTTTGTCGAAATTCGCAGGTATGGGTATGATTATGGAGGTTACGATCGTGGAGGAAGGGGCGGGTACGACGAAAGGGCTCATGGTCGCTATATGACTCGCCCCTCAGGTTAGCTTTGGAACTAGACTCTTCTGTTGTTGCTTTTGTTGAGTATCTCAAAAGTTATCAGAGGAACTTACCTATTAGATGATCCTTAGCTCTGATTGGTGGTCGAGGAAGATAATTAGATTTGGTAAGAGAGAAAGTAATAAAAAAGAAATACGTAGATCCTTTTTCTCTCGATTGGGTTCTTAAGACAGAATGAAATGAGCTATTTGCGTATTGATTAATAGTTAAAAGAAAAGAAATCTCATCACTTGCTATACATAGCATAGCATGTATTTAGTTATACTTTTACCACCGGAGGTGAAGTTTTATATGGACTTTGTTTCTAGGTATATGTTATTTAGGGTTGGTGCTCTTTTCCTTCAGTAAGAGATTTTCCGGAAATTCTGGGGTAATAAGTTCAGCAAGCCCTGTAACTATTATGAAAGATCATTTGACTCCTGATATTTGAAAAAGTCTTATGTTGTTGATGGTTGTGGTATAAGCGAGGGAGAGGGCTGTGAGCATTCATAAAGTACTTCCTTATTAAACTCGGGAAATTTACATACATACTATACCATTCTTAATTTACATATCTTACACCCAAAGTTTGATATCTACACCTAACATCATGGTGTCATAAATGTATGCATGAAGATGTTTATTTACTTTAGAAAGATAGTGATGGTGGTGTTTTTGATGCGATGTTAAAGATTTGAGTGGTATGCATTTAAATATGAATGTTTAGGTGTTTGATATGTAAAAGCATAAGAATTGTGTGGCATTTTTGTAAATGTCCTTAAATATTTATATATATTTTGGCCATGTTTGACTTTCTAAAGGTCGCTCTCCTTTATGTTTATTGGTTGCTACGAGCTTTTATAAGTGATTGTGTGGTCCAAGGAGCTACGAACCTTTCTTCTTAGAGCTGGAAAATGGTCTCTGGAACATTTCTTTTGGCCTAAGAGAGGCAACCTTGTATGTCATTAGATAATGAGCCATTCTGGACTCACATTCAAATCCACTCTAGAAAGCAAAACTTTCGGTTGCGGATTTTTATTCAAGTAACTATGAACCTTTTTACATAGAACTAGAAATTTTTTTGCAAATTTTTATTCAAGAACTATGAACCTTTTCACATAGAGCCGGAAACTACTGAATTGCACTTGCCTTGCAGTGCCAGAGCTTCAACCTTGCATACTTCCCTAGATAATGTGTCAAATGTAACTCAGCAAAATCAATCTACATAGAGAATAGCTGACATTTATATGAAGCAAAGCGTTTAACTTGTAAGGATTTGAATTAATTCTATTGAAAAACATAATGTATTTGTGATTTTGAGTAATAACTAGTGTCTTTGTCTTGATACACGTGACTGCAAAAGTGGAACAGGAAATGCAAGCAAATTTGATTTTTTGAACTTGTGATCTCATATTTTAAGGAGGATCTGTACATAAATTATTAGATTTTGTTCAGTGTGGCCCCCTTGACTTTTTTTGAACTGTGAATTTAGTTTTTCCATGTAACATTTGGATTTTAATATCACCTAGATTGGATGCATGCTCTCAGTTTTGTGTTTTATACGTCCAATTCGGTGAAAAAAATTTCAGTCAATTTATGGTGTGTTGAATTTTTTTTTTCTCGATCTGGATATTGTCATAAGTAATATGTTGTTGCATTCCTGAATGCTATGCACAGGATATCCATGTTATGATGATAATAATATGAATAAGTTGTTACTTTATTTTATAGTAGATATAGTTTTGATTTAATTATTTTTATTGACCATAATTGCTATATCTTTGAAAATATATGTTACTTGTGACAGACATGAAAGTATACGTTTTAGTTCTATTTTTATAGAATCAAATAATATTTCAATTTAGTTATTTTGTTTTGTTTTTGTCATCCATTGGGTTGAAAATCCTAATATAATTGCATTTAGTGTTTAATTGACAAGTCAAAAAATGGAATTGCATAAAAATAAAAATTATTCTGCGAGTCATAGTTGTCATTGAGTGCCATCTCTTTGTTGTACATATTTTTTTCTCAATGATGAATTAGTGTTCTTGTGCTTTTTCTTTTTCTTTTTTTGGGAATTTCAATTTCATCTAGATTAGATGTATGTGCCAAAATCTTTGGTTTAATTGACTAGGTCAGTGGAAAGATTAAACACTTTATTTGCTATAGTTAGATGAGGTATTGTTGTTTTTATCGTGAATTTTTAACTCTTAGCTTTAAGTTTTATATAAAATATCCATTCCATGCATGTAATCATGTCAACTAAGTATTTGCCTTTATTTTATGGATGATATAGTTCTGATTTGAATGTGTTATTTTTCTTGACAAAAATTGCTAATCATATCAAGAAAAAATACACATTTTTTTTACACATGAAATTTTTCGGTTTAGTTCAACTTTGCATAAATAGCTAACATATCAGTGTATATGTATATTGGTTGTTGTAGGCATTAATAGCTGTCATTGAGTGTGATTATTGGCCATTACCGAGTTGATTAACATTTTGAGTTTAAATTGAGCTTGAGTATAAGCTTCAAATAGGATAAATTGATTGATAGATGAGTTCCTTGTGGTGCTTTGCATGCTAAGACAATTCAAGGGACTCCTTTATAACTTATAATTGTAGGCATGTTAGAGTGAGCACTTTGATGTCATTGGTGCATGGCACTAGATTTGGTGAACATTTTGATTCAAGGGGATTGTGTGATTATTCTGGAAGTCCTAATGCGTAAGGGAGATGATAAAAAGCTTGTAAGACTGTTGGATTTAATGCTCAGTTGGATTAAAAAAATGTATTGCCATTCATAAGCTATTTTCTATTCGCCTAAACTTTTGGGTTGAACATATAATTAACCATTGTATTGTAGACCAAGTTAATCACCACTGTTCCTTATTACCTTTAAGATGAATTTTTAAGATTTTACCAAATGAATGATTTGGTCTATGGATTAATGATCTCATAATCTATTTTATGATATAATTGGAATTTTATATATAAAAAGTGGATAAACATGTTTGGATAAAAGAAGAGGCATGAGATGTTTCTCTGCATATTTATAAAAGGATAGTTAAGAAGATATGAGTAGCGTATAACTTGGGGCTTGTTTGTTTACTTTTAGAACTTTTTAAAATGTAGCTTAGAAGTAAGGGAAGCGGACACTTTGGAAAGTTGAAGCTTCTTTAAAATTGATAAGTAAGATTATTAATGATTTGACTTCATGCTTATATGCTCTAGAACTACTTTAGGAAGTAATTAAATGTGATGTTTTTACTTTTGTGCCAATTCTTAACACCACCTACACACATGTTCATACATAACATACATACAAATAATATAATTTAGTGTAATATGTAATCTTTATATGTTATTGATGTCATATGCGTACATTATCGGATCATGGCATAAATTTATATTAAAACCATCTAATATTGTAATTTATGACACAAACATATCATTTTAATTCTTTATTAATGTGCATTTAGTATATGTAATTTTTTTTATAAAATAGACAAAACATATTTTATAATAAATATTAGTTTTTATATGTTATCAATGCCATATAATTTAGTAGATTATTGCATAAATAAGTGGTAAAAACATTTAATATAGTAATTTATGATACATATATATTATTTTACTCTTTATTAATATATGTTTAATATATAGATGGGGATGTTATTAGTAGAATTCAAGTTGGATGTTTGAAGTGGAGGTTTAATATTTAGTAATTTATGGTACATATATAAAGAACCTTCTCTCTTTCTCTCTCTCTCTCTTCCTCTTTTCTCTCATTTCTATGATTTTGTGTGTTCGTTACTTTGAGCCAAAGAAGAGCTTACATTGTGTGGTGGTTGTGCACATGTTTGTTATGGTCACACATGCACCTGGAATGCAATAAAGCAATGGATATCCTACGTAGCCAGTGACAGCTAGCTGTTGTCAAATTGGTTATTTTTAACTATTTTTCCCTTTCTGTGTTGCTCAATATTCAGCTTTTGTAATTCTCTTTGCAACTATCTTAATCCAATATGCACTACTGTTTTTAGTTAATGATTTGCAGAACAATGTTTATGTGATATTCTTGTAAATTTTGAATCATGATATTTATAATTATGTTTTTTTCTATTCAAGATATTGATTATATCATATCCTTGTAAATTATCTTATTTGCACTCAGCCTTATATTTTTTATTTTATTTTATGTTTTTTCTATTCTGTAGATTGGCCTGATACGGGGAGGGGTGGTTTTGATGGCTCTCAGCCTCAAAGGTTTGTATTTGCAGTATTATAATATGTAACTTGTTAAGCTGCTCTTATATTTTTTATGCTTTTGGTTTTTGCTTTTCTCTTAACATCAAGCGATCATTGCACTTTGTTATATTCAGGAATTTTTGCTTAGCTTTTTTCCATATTGAATCTTCCTATTTATCCTAGTTTTTATGGTCATAATATACTTCCATAATCATCTTGACCTTCTTCCATTTATTTTTATACTAATATCTTTGAAAATTTAGATGTATAGATATAGATACGTTATATAAATATCATAGTATCATATGTATGTGTATATGTATGAAATGTACATAAATAAATAAATAAACAATACTTAATGTACATAATACACACGCACACACGCGCGCGCGCACGTACGCACGCACGCACGTGTGTGTGTGTAGCAAAAATAAATAAATAAACAATACTTAATGTACATAATACGCACGCGCGCGCACACACACATACACGCGCGCGCGCGCACGCACGCACGCACGCACGTGTGTGTGTGTGTGTGTAGCAACATATGTGTATACATCTCCTCTTCTTGCTAGAGAAAGCTGGGAGCTTCCTTGAGGTGAAGAGCTTGAGAGAAAGGTGAGAGTGAGGGCTTCTTTCTCACAACCCTCTTCTTCTTCATTTCTTTCTCCTTCTACATCCTTCATAAAAAGCAATCTTCTTCTTCCACCACCATTCTTTTAGTGTGTGAGGAGAGCTTATACATATACATATACATATACATATACATATATCATGTATGTATATACCATGCATATATACACACATATGTTACATATAAACATATATCAACACACACACACACATTGCCATATAGTTGGGATAAGGTTAATGATGAATTGCTGATGTCCCCATGACCGTATCAACTGTTGATTATCTCTTTGATCCTTATTTTTGTAGTTATTCTTCTAAAAATGTGTTAACTCTACATTCTTTTATCTTTCCCTGACCTTGTCACCAGTGTTTGAGAAAGCATTCATGTGCTTGCTCTTGATTGCCCGTGTCATATTTCATAATTAGCATGATATGCTGAAAACATCTTCAAACCAATTTTGACAACAATAAATGTTTTCAACATTACAAATTTTAATATTTTATCCGAATATCAAGAATGTGAGTTTTTTCCCTTGAACTAAACAAGTCTCTCTTTTTTGCTCGGGTTTCAATTTTATGTTTTTTATGTATTTTTTGTATTTTTCTTTTCAAAGTATAGATTTTTATTTATGAAATTTATTAAATATTTATATTTCAGCTTTCCCCACAAAAATAAATTTATATATTTTTTAAAATATTACATTTCATATTAGTAAATTTTTTTAAATAATGTCCATGATGGTCATGTCCTAATTATGATCATATTACATCTCCACGTTCATGTTTTGCTTTGTTCATGTCTTGGTTCGGTGCCCATACTTCTTGTTTAAATGGCTAAATGCATGCATTCTAATAACTTATGGATAAACGCAACGAATGCACAATAAGGCGAAGTGGATAATTGCATTATTATTGAAAGAGTTGCTCAAGGTTCTAGAGTTTTTATTCATTTTTTAATTATTTTAAAAATAATACCTATTTTTCTTTCTCAACAAAGAAAATAATTTTTAGTCCCATCATATTTTCTATATTATTTTTCCTTTCAATCTAGTTATCTTTTGCTATTATATGGTTACTGTGAAAAGAAAGCCAAGTATTATCAGATGTTTGCTGAATTATTTTAGTTTATTTACTGTTTGAGACTATTTGATTATTTAAAAATTTCATATAGATATTAACAACCATATAGTAATAATCATATATAAAGACGCATAATTAAGTACTTTTAAGCGGCTATCAAATTCAGTGAGGAATGTGGGTTCGTAGAACACTTGCGAGGTTGAAAATAAAGTTTCATTTTTTTTATCAGATATAATTATCTGGCAAAACTTAATAGGACTAAAAAATATGCAATAACGAAGTTAAAGATTTAGAAGAAAAATATTGGTCAACAATATGAACTTAGCTAAATTACATCATATATACATATGTTGTTCTAAATGAGTATCATATAGACTTCAAAATTATTTTATCATTTTAAATGGTTAGAATCAAGTAATTGCACAGTAAAAAAAATTCAACTTTTTTTTTGGGTATATGATAGGTACATTTATTTCTGAACCCTTCCCGACTAAAATTACAAAACTTCCATAAAGTTAATGGAAGTCAAACTTTTAAAGATTATCTATGCATTTAGGTATTTTTCATATGGTTTTGATGTGAGTTTTCTGTAGACTTTGTTTTTTTTTCAGTCTGCTTATTGGATTTCATTTTAGAGAACATTGGATATATAATATCTCTATTTTGTTCTCCAGGGAGGGTTTGATGACATACAAACAATTTATTCAGGAACTTGAGGATGATATATTACCAGCTGAAGCTGAACGGAGGTACTAGAAACTAATTTTTAATTGGGGCATTTACATACATAGCACACATTGCTCATCTATTTACAGGTTTCACACCTAAACTTTCATATTTACATACATAGCACTCTGGTGCTTTCAACCTACGCATGAAAAGGCGTATTTCACTATTTAAAGGGGATAATAGTGCTATTTTTGATGTGATGCTAAATATTTGAGTGCTGCATGCAAATATTAAAGTTTAGGTTTGAGATAGGTAAATACATAAAAATTGTGTGCTATGTATGTAAATTTTCCTTTTGAACTTTTAAGGGGTTGTTTGGGATCACTTTCTATTTTCTATTTTTATTTTTTTTTGAAAAATGGAAAATAAAAATAAAAACACATGTCTATTTGTTGTCTTTTTATTTTGGTTTAAAACAAAATTGTTCTTTTCCTCAAAACACAAAGCAAGAAAAATTTTTTTTTTCTGTATTTTCAAAACAACTCCCACTATCCCGACCCTGACCCAGTCCCCGGTGTCTTCTTGATGCTTTCTTCAATGCCGAAGTCGACGCTGTCTTTGTCGGCGATACTGACTCCAAATCCTTCTTTGCCATCGATGCTGACATCAATGTACGCCGACACTGCTCACCCAACATTGTCGCATATGCCATCGCAATTCAGTTCCCCTGTCGTGGGGCTCATACTCCTCATTAATTTTCTTCCACTCCTCTCGCAATTCAGTTCCCCTGTCGTGGGGCTCATACTCATTAATTTTCTTCCACTCCTCCTCGCTTCTTCCTGTGAGGGCTCCGAGTCCCCCGGCGTTGAGAATCCTATTGTTAATAATTCCTATCTGGTGAATGAAGGTAACAAAGAATTTCAACGGCGATGAGGTTCGCCGAGGGAAAGCAAAGTTGGAGATTCATATGGTACAACAGTAGGGGGGATGCCGGCGAAGTTGGTCTGGTTGAGGAGGTTGGCTGCGGCCTCATGGTCGCCGGAGCGGGAGGGAATACTTATATTTTCTTGTTTTTGTTTTTTTATTTTTAAAAACAGAAAAATCATATAAGTATTACCAAACATGTTTTTTGTTTTATTTTAAAACAAAAACAAAACAAACTACAAAAAAAAAAAAAAAACAGAAAATATAAAGTGTACCAAACAACTCTAACCTTATTTAGGCGAACATGTTCCAAACATTACTGTCCTATCCTTAATGAGGAGTATGAGCCAAACATTGCTGTTCCTTCTTAAAACAGGAACTTATTGCTTCTAGTGCTTGTTGACTATTTTGTTAGGAAGATTTACATGCATACCACTCAATTCTTATATATTTACATATCTAACAACTAAACTTCACTTTGTACATATGCCACCTTACCTATGCATGCGGAGGTGTATTTCACTTTTTAAAAGTTAAAATGGTGGTATTTAATGTGATATGAAAGATTGGGGTGGTTTAAATGTAAAAATCAAAGTTTGGTTTTAGATATGTAAATACATAAGAATTGTGTAATATGAGTGTAAATGCCCCATTTTGTTAATGTTGCTTTTTTCATATTGTGACATAATTTATAGTTACACATCTCCCTATTAAATAGGTACGAAGAATACAGAACGGAATACATTTCAACTCAGAAACGTGCTTATTTTGAAGCTCACAAGGACGAAGAATGGTAACATCTGATCTCTCTTATTTCATGAACTACATGCCACTTTTAATGGGTGCATGTTCCTGTTGTTTCTTTGTTGATGTAAGTTTCCTATAAGTACTGTATTAAAAATTGTAATCCGTTTTGTTTGTAGGCTAAAGGACAAGTATCATCCGACTAATTTAGTAACCGTTATTGAAAGGTTAGTTATCAGCAATAGATATTTGGACACAGGAACTGTGAGTTGTGGATTATTTGGGGTTTGAAACCATATATCCTTTACATTCTTGATATTGTGAATTTGATCAGATTTTTTTGCGGAGCCTCATCATTTGATTTACAACTAGTTTTGTTTCTTTTCCCTATTAATTTCTTGCAGGAGGAATGAGAATGCAAGGGCTGCAGCAAAGGAAATTTTACTAGATTTGCAGAGTGGAACACTAGATCTGTGAGTTTCTTTTTCGTTCCTTTTATTTCCTTATTCAGATGGTCTCCTTTTACAAGCTTTTTTTTTTTTTTAAACTTTGCAGTGGCCCAAGTTTGACAAGTTCTACGTCTAATAAATCTGGAAATGCCAGCGATCCAAATTCTGAGGATGAACCAGATGTTAGTGGTAAAAGAAGAAGGCATGGTAGAGGTCCAGCAAAAGAAAATGATCTATCTACCGCTCCCAAAGCTCATACTGTCAGTTGCGAGCCTAGAAGAATCCAATTAGACATCTTACAAGCTCAGGCATTGGTTCGTAAAGTTGATTCCGAAAAGGGAATAGAAGATAATGTTCTATCCAGTACCGATCATGATAAACTAGAGGCTGATAATGCTCACGGTGGATCTATGGGGCCAATTATAATTATACGGGGGCTGACGACCGTCAAAGGTCTTGAAGGTGCTGAGCTTTTGGATACACTTATAACTTATTTGTGGCGCGTCCACGGTATAGATTACTATGGAATGTCTGAGACTAATGAAGCAAAAGGTCTTAGACATGTTAGAGCTGACAGCAAAGCTTTTGATGGTTCTAACCCCTCAGTATCCGGGGCCGAGTGGGAGAAAAAACTTGATTCCTTTTGGAAGGAAAGGTTGATGGGTTGGGACCATTTGGAAATAATGACAGGTAAAGAAAAAATTGATGCAGCTGCTGTAGAAGCCTTAGACCCCTATGTTAGAAAAATAAGAGATGAAAAATATGGTTGGAAGTATGGATGTGGGGCTAAGGGGTGCACAAAGCTATTTCATGCAGCTGAGTTTGTTCATAAGCATCTTAGACTCAAACACCCAGAACTTGTGATGGAGCTGACGTCGAAAGTGCGGGAGGATCTTTATTTTCAAAATTATATGAAGTATGCCGGACTTTCTTATTGCTCTTGTACATAGAACGTGCTGGAAATTTTATTAGCTTTTCAGGTATTTGCTTACTTTGTGTTGTTTTTTTTTTTTTTCTAAATGCAGCGATCCTAAAGCACCTGGCGGTACTCCAAGCATGCAACAGCTTGCACCGGTATGATTCTTCTTAAAGGCAGTTTTAGTGCTGTGGTGTTCGTAAAAAAATATGGCCTTAACTTTATAACTTTTTGAATGATCTGTGAACATCAAAATTTATCTTTTATATTTGGCTTTCACCGTCTCAAACTTATCTGGCATATTGATAACTACGAAGACATCAAGTATTTAATTTTACAGTGTCCCTCTTGTGTTTCAGAATTCCTGTTCGGGATGAACGAGAATTTGAAGAAGTTCAAAATGTTGGCAATTCTTAAAGATTCTAGTAACTAATAAGACGGAATATTTCTTAAAAAACAGACTTATTTTGGGCAATCCATTAATTTGGCTTGCAAAATTAAAATTTAATTAGCTTGCAGTTTAGACACAAAATTATAGCCATATGATTGCTTTTTGCATCATTCCATATATTTGTACTCAATTTGAGTTCAATAATTTAAAATTATTTTCAATTTTAAGAAATTTGAATGTTATTGTTATCATTTTGAAATAACTGGCAATTTGTGATGAAATTTCTTCTCTGTTTGTTTTGTTTGTAGTTGATTACATGACATTACCTACTAAGCAAGTGGATGTTAACCTTTCTGTTGTAATTTCCTTGTAGTAGCCATTCTGTTGTAATTTCCTTGTAGATTTTGCCTGCTCTTACAGTTGATTTTGATAACTTGGTATCCCGTATAAACCTGCAATTTATCACTTCTTCTCTGGGTTGTTATTTTATTTGATTAATTTGACTTTCTATCTTTTATTGATGATTGCTTGAATTCAATGTGTATTATGCTACTAAATTGATGGATTATATATACATGTGTATATCTCTGTGCCTTAGCCTGGTTTATTGGTTGCGGTCTTTTGGTGTAAGTCCCTTGGGTCGAGGGTTCGATCCCTGCGTAGCATCGAGTTTCACACCTTCTGGAAGGGGGTCCGCCCCTTGGTCAGACTATAGGGTCGATCGGCTATCAACCTTTTATAAATATATATCTATATATCTATATATATGTATCTGTCTGTGTGTGTGAAGTTTGTGGATTCAGCTTCTATATAGCTGTTGTTTATTTCTTACAGTAATGATATTCTTGCAGAAGGAGAGGGCACCAAAACGAAGGTCAGTTTTGGATGGTCGGCTGAGAGATGAACGCAGTGGTGGCAGAGACCATAGCAAGGGTGATCGGCCTGATGATGAGAGGATTGACCGGAGTGAGAATTCACCTTCTCGTGATGGGTCAGGAGGGGATGATCCGATGCATGATGCATATGGCGGGCAAGGTTTGCACGGTTCTTCACCTTTCCCTTCCGACATGCCACTTCCACCTCAAGTTTTGATGCCAGTGCCTGGTGCCGGGTAGGTCAATGATTTGTAAACTCTATTTTTTCTGTTGTATCATCTGAACAGAAGTGATTTAACTGTTTTTTTTCCCTAAGACCTCTTGGACCTTTTGTTCCTGCTCCGCCGGAGGTTGCCATGAGAATGATGAGGGACCAGGGTGGGCCATCTTCCCTTGAAGCAAATGGTGGGCCTAGAGGAAGAAAAGGAAGGTCTGCTCCGCTAATGGCCCCTCCCGGACCAATCCTTGGTATTTCTCCAGCATTTCGACATGATCCGCGTCGAATGAGAAGGTCAGTTTGTTTTTGTGGAACGCTGACAAAAAGTTTAGCTGTTTGGGATCAATTTTTGTTTTTTATTTTTATTTTTATGGAAACAAATAAAAACAGTGTTTGCTTATCTGTTTTTTATTTTTTTGGTGAAATAATTCTATTTTTAAATACTTAAAACAGAAAAAAAAATGTTTTTACCTGCTTTTAAAACACTCCCGCGAACGATGAAGAAAATAAAGTCGAAGAGAATAAGTGCAAGATTAACCTTCCTCTGCGGCGGCGAGCGATACGGTGTACTACTAGGGTTTGGACGCACTGCTTCTTTTGCAATTCTCGCTTATCACGAAAGCTGTATTTATAGCTGAAGTGCGCCAAATGTTGCTACAGCAGCCCGGAGCCTCTACTGAAGCCATCGGCCCTGCGCTTGATCCCTTTTATCTTTCAAGGAGCAAGTTCAGCTGAAGAGATAAGCAGGAAGCTGATGGTTGCATCTCCATGTTCCAAGTTATTTTTCACGCGGTGGAAGAAGCTTTGTTTTCACCATACCACCTATTGGCCGACGAACAAGGAAGATAAGGGGCCATATAAATATACAATCACTTATTGATATAAATAGAGATGATATACAAATATACAATCACTTATTATTCCTATATTCTTGGTGCTTTTATAATGACAATCATATAAATAGAGATTAATTCATAGTTTAAATCACACTTTAAATCCAACAGTCAATAAATTTTGATGAAATGAGATTTGGCAATAAGATACATGATAAATAAATCAATCTAAAATTCGAAGTAAATTTTAAAAATTAATAATATCAAATAAACCTCTTTTATATTCTTAAGAGAAATATAAATTTTAAATAAAAAATAAACAGGAGAAATTAAATGATATGTTATTATATTATTGGAATCTTAGTTAAAATCAAAATTCTGGACAAGAGAATTAAACTTAAAGGTTTTTATTTAAGAAAAAAATAAAAAAATACCAACAAAATCTGTTTTATATTTTTTATTTTTGAAAACAAATAAATCAAAATAGTATCAAATGTGTTTTCTGGAAACATAAAACAGAAACAAAACAAAACAAGATAGAATTAAAAAAAAATAACAAAAACTGAAAGTGATATCAAACTCAGCCTTAAATTTTCTTAGCCAATACATGCAAACATATGATATATAAGATCAGATTGGTTCACATTGATTCAATTTTATGCTGGCCCATGAATTTTTCTGTATTGATCTTGGTAATTTTTTACCCTTCTCCCATATTTTTTGAGGTTCTAGCTGTACATTACTACCTTGTCTATAAATAAGATAGTTCTCTAACTTTGTTAACTGATTGCTAATCAAAATTTTCAATGGAATTGAGTCCAGATTCGTCATTTGCTTAACCCAGAATTTAATTCCAATTTTCCGCTCACTGTTTATAAAAGCCAGCATTTTTTATGTCCTCAGCAAGGCAAAGCTAAATATTTAATATTCAGTGTAAAGCTAATTTTTTTTAAAAAAAATTTGAAATGCATTTGCATTTGGGTTCTCGATAAGTTTGTAGGATTGATGGAATGAAATGTTTATTCTTGCAGCTACCAGGACCTTGATGCCCCTGAAGACGAAGTAACCGTCATGGACTACAGGAGTTTATAGTCCTTCAATGCATATTTTTGTCTGCTGTAAACTCAATATTCTGTAGGAGAGATTGCTTGCTGTTGTTTCTGAAGCTTATGAAATAATCTATATGATACACATTGAAAGCCATTGGGTAAATCTCTAAATCTTCCTAATTTTTCCTACAGTCGTGAGAGAACATATATATATAGAGAGAGAGAGAGAGATAGAGATATGAAGTTAGGGGAAGGGAGTAGAGAGAGAGAGAGAGAGAGAGAGAGATATGAAGTTAGGGGAAGGGAGTGAAAAGCCAGCAATTTAAGTTGAAAATCTTAGGAGCATTTATTTAGTACCCATTTGTGAATTGGGAATAGAATGTCCAGTGATAGAGGGTTATAACGCAGGACTGTCTTAGTTTTACTGTATAAACTTGATTTAGCATGACTTTCATGGCTCCGTGAGCTTAAATTTTACTTTTTTAATGACATTTAAATACCCCCCATTTTTCTCTTTTTCTTTTTGTGGTCAAGTTTGGGAGATTTAGTGTACTTGATGAGCTTTTGTGTACTCTCATGAGCAATTAATGTAACTTCTTAACAGATTCTTGAAGATTTACACTCACACCACTCAATTCTTATGTAATTACATGGCACTTCAATTTTTATGTACATGCCATTTTGTCAATGTAGG